GGAATGTAAGGCACGTACCACGCATGAATAAAATATCGACACTGATAAGAGGTAATAAAACTGAACCCGGCGAAGTTCAAAATTTCCAGATGTGACAAAAAACCCGCGACTCGGAAGGCATCGGGAAATTTTTGAATCAATTGAGCGTACACAAAGTGAATCGAGTCAGCTGTCACGGAATGTAGCCCCGTGAACTCGGTTGGCGGAGAGAAGGCCGGATCCTGGGGGACCGCGCTGGCGGTAGGGGGCCGCAGGGGGTTGCCAGGACGATCTGCCACGCCAGGACTCGATGGGAAGGCGCGGGCGAGGCCGCTCGATAATGCTACTTTTAGCGATCGAGGTTCGGCGTGCCGTTAAAAATTAGTTAACGCTTCTTGAATTACAAATAAAATTTGGACGGCGCGGCCGATTGTTTTACGGACTTTGCCGCGATATTTTTTCAGGGTTTATAAGGCCCTAGCTGTCGATTTAACGTAGACGATGCGCGGTGCACAGTTTGATATTTTAACGATCCAGCCGTATTCAGTTTAAAAAATCTAAATTTTTTTAGTCAACTTATTATGGCACTTCTACTTCAGTCGAATTAGATCATAAAACCTGAAAACTTGAAAAAATTATTGGTAGATTATTGCACTTTATTATGGGAAGGGTATGTAGAATAATATCAAAAAAATCTCCAAAGAAGTGACGTTAAATTGGCAAATTGCAAAGTGGCAAAATTACGTGTTTTTTCAAATTGCGCATTATTATTGCAAAAAGCAATGAATGCAGATGAAATTTATGGAAAAGACGGTCAATCCAATGACCAATATGTATCGCAAACGCGGATTCAATTGACCGTGAAATTGTTACTCCAGGTATTTGTTAATTAATTTCCTTTGTTTTTTGTAACTAATTATTTAATTACTAAATGTTAATATCGTAGATATAGGTTCTAATTGATCCAAAGAAACGTATAGAAAAAGAAAAAAATTAAAAAGTTGAAATTAAGTTGCCCTTTACAATTAACAAAGTAGGACGTGCCCAATGTTATAAATAAATTGTCCCAGGTTCAGGCAAAAGCCGCTCGGGAATTCGCTCTTTTTATATTAAATAGAGCTTATTTTTACGGTAATTAAAAAAAGAGAGAAATCAACTACCCCTCTTTCTTCCCAAAATAACTTTTTTTTAACGTTAATTGTTAATTAACTATTGGATGTAATGAAAAAGAGTGAATTCTCGAGCGGCTTTTGCGTGACTGGGAAAATTTGTTTACAACGCTGTTTTGCATGTCCTACGCTGTTAGTTGTAAAGGGCAACTTGATTTTAATTATTATAATTATAAGAATATCTTCTTGTCTATCTTAAGTGATAAGTATTTTATAAATTTCCTTTGTACGCCTTCAATTATTATTATTATTACTTTCACAAGCGATATCCCATACTTAAGACGGCGATTTCTGCCACCAGGGATTTTTTGGCGCTAGCATTACTTTAAATTATTAAATTGCAATATATAGCTAGGATAAGAACTCGCTGTACATCGGTAGTATAATATAAAGTCAATATAAGTATGACTTTTGAACAAAAGGTGTCGCAGGCATACCAGAATTAATCTCAACTCGTAATACATTTATTAGACCGATCAAAATAACTCATTTAGAGGGGGAAAAAAAAGAAAATTGTTACCTAGACTTTTATAAGTGGAAATGGCAAAGGGGCTTATAATAAACGAAAAAATGTATCGAAATATAATTAATATTTTTTAATTTTTCAAAAATGTGCTTTTTTGGATTGCCAGGGCCTATCATAGCAATGTTACCATTATTAACGTTAAATATTTTTGAATACAGCAATACTTTTTTAATTGTTATCATAATGTGATCTACATATATGTTTGGATTTGATAGATTAGCTGTCAGGTAAAAAATGGACCATTGCAAAAAAAATTTCCCCGAACACTCCCTATAAACCTTGTAAAACTTAAACGTATAGGTACATTTTAAATTTAAAAGCAGATAGGTACCTACCTATTTATTAACAAAAACTACGAAGAATGTAAATTTACATGTATTTAACAATTCTATTTGTTCAAACAATTTAAAATTTCAAAATATTGATTGAAATCATATGTCACATAACATAACCTATCTTTTTATGAATCAAATCTGGGCGGGCTGGCGCAAATAAATATTCTTTGGGCTGGCGGGCATAAAGTTCTATGAACAGAGTTGCCAGATAAATTTTATCTATTGTCGTCAGTAGATGGAAATACAGTAGCCAAAAAGTCTGATTGAAATAAAAGTTGTTAAAAAATTAAGTTATTTTTATAGGACGAAACAATCTGAAAGAATATTTAAAAATCAGACATAAAAGAGTAACAAAATACAAATTGGACTACAAAGAAAATATTTCAGATGAGTTAATTTAGGAATAAAATGAAAGGAAGAGGAGGAAAAGTTATCCTCACGAACTTTTGACATAACATTTAATTTTAAGAAAAATTGTCAAGTTTACAAAAATATTAAAATCAAATTTCGATAGATACTGAAAATTTCCAGTTGCTTTTCTAACAATCACAACAATTTGTTATACAACAATAACAATAAATTTAATCCTTTTTGAAGTGAATCAGTTAAACTAGAAATTTAACATTTAACCTGTTTTCTTTAAGTCTTTTTCTTGATGATAAACTTAATAGCTCTGCAAAGAAAGATCGCGTTCAAAGTTTCAGTCTTTAAAATAAAATTTTTAAATTGTCTTGGTTAGCACTATAAAAATTATTATTGCAAATTGCAACACTACACCGCACTCTTGACATTTTTACGTGGTAAATTATTAGTTTATATCAAATACTACACCAACAACTTATTAAAAACTATTTTCAATAACTAACTAATTACTGCAAAATACCCAAACAACTATGAAAGATTTACTACTTGGAAAAATGCAAAATTACTAGTTAATCGCATGTAAACAAACATAAATTCTAAAGGTTAGAAATCTTGTAACGTTCTAACGTAGTATGAGATAAGCCACGCCCATAATTTGTCTATTACTCGACCGTCTTTTTTACGGACCGTGAATAACATCACATTTTGATTTCAGAATGAAGCGAAGCGAGCGCCATCTGTTACAGAGTGTCCAAAGTTGTAAACGTATTTTATTTTCTAACTACAATTGGGTGTGTAAATAATTTTCAGTTTTCCATGTCGGTTAATTCTTACGTTTTTCAAATATGATGCATATAAATATTCAACCATTTCTAGAATTGAATTTTGTTAAAGTACCTTCAGAAAACCTCAAATTTCTCAATGACATATTTTAAATAACCGTTTTGATCTAAAAAAAAATTTTAGTCATAAACAGTTTCTCAAAGAAAATTTTATTTCTCGTAAAGTAGCGAATATTTTTTAACCAAATTATGTCATTAGGAGCTCCAACAAATGCTAAACACTTACAACTTTTAATTTGCAGTAAATTTATTATCATTTTTGAAATAATCTGTCAGAAGTGGCCATCTTAAGCGATTTTAGATTTTCCATCGCGCTAAAAACAAATAAAAAGCTTTCAAGGTATCAATATTAGAAACAAACTTACAATTTCTTATTATAATCCTATTTTTTTCGATATTATGGTTTTTCGGATTGTTATGCCGTGGCGCCTATGTACCTAGTTGCCGCCATTTACAAACTTACATTGCCTTTTTTTAGCCGTAGCTAGGAATCGTTGCCCTGCCTTTGTTATTCTCGGGCTAGGTTTTGTGGGAACGGATCCGCTATTACCCTGATGTTGATTTGGTTTTTTTTTGTTCTAACGCCGCTACGGACGGAACAGCTCCTCAGGCAATGGTGTTGTCTTTGTAACTGATCGCATCCAATACTTCCAAACGTTTCGTCATTCTTCACTGTCGGCATCCTCAGATGAAGAAAAAGAATAGCAATCGTAAAGGAATGATGAGAGATGAAAGATATTTTAAAATTTCTTTGACGTGTCTTCTAAAGGAAGTGGTTAACTTATTCCTTTCTATTTCATATAGATAGAGTTTAAATGTTCTGTCTGACGCTAATAATACTTCATAGTTGGTCTTAAGTTCAGAATAGATTTTACTCTTAAATACCAGCATGAAGTCGAAGTTTAAGTTTTTAAATTTGATTCTTTATTTGGTGGAACTGCATGTTCCACACAAATTGTACTTTGTTTGAACACTCTGTACATCATTTAATGAGAATTTATTCATTTGAATTGTCATTATACCTTTAAAGAATAAAGTACAAAACTGGTATTAAAAAATGTACAATTTTTAAAAATACCTAGGCGTTTTCAATTTTTATAGAATTTTCATTACAATTATTCTTATAATTGATTCTTTGATGCCTTTTATTAAAAATGTGTAATGAATGGTACCCCATTATAATTTTATAAAATAAATCACACTGAGCTTGTGTAGGTATGCAAAGATTGTAACGCTTTAATGATTTGACTGGTCTAATTCAAATTTAAAATTAAAATTTAAATATCGCAGCAAGTTATTCTGCTGCAACAAACTGTATCTACGGATTTATCCCCATAATATATTATCTTTAATACAATGGTGGCATAAATTTAACAGGGAAAAAGTAGTTTTGTTGTTTATTACAATTCGAGTTACCATTATTTAGGTCAAAGACGTTTACAGAACTGTTCAACATAACTATTTCTATTAATTTTCTAGATTTACTTTCGTAGCTGAAGTCAATAAGAATGTGGCTTCTCCTTAAATTTGGCGTACCAGCGACGAAAGATGTAGAATGTCGTTGTAACTGTTGTAATTAACGTAAACGTCAATCTAATCGGAAGTAATACTCTGATAATGGCTTGGGTAGCCGAAAGCGTTTAACTATAATCTTAATAAAAATTTTAACGTACTATGTATATAAAAGTACTGTCTTTTTTCTTTCTTTGATATTAAGTAATCATTCTTATTACTTATTCAACTTTAAAAATCAAATTGGGGCATTATCAACTCCAATTTGTTGCAGGTTTGGTTTCAAAACAGGAGAGCGAAGTGGAAGAAGAGGAAGAAGACCACCAACGTCTTCCGAACACCTGGTGCTCTGCTGCCGTCGCACGGACTCCCACCATTTGGGGCGATGGGCGATGGTCTGTGTGGATCAAGTATGTTTAGTACCTCCGAATCGAGATGGGGCGTTGCTGGTATGGCAACAGGTAATTTTAGTTCTTTTCTTGTATACAAGATATCATTGGAAATCCTTTTGATCGGCGTTCGTAGGTGAAAGAGTAAATATCTCCTTTTTTGATCAGTTATCTCAAAAAGTATAACAAAAAACCATCATTACACTTCGTCGACGTTGACATCTCGCTGTTTTTATTCCGACATCTTTAGGACTTCCTAAAACAATGTAAATTTAATCAGTTTTAACAGAGAAAACTACAAAATCAATCACATTACAACATAAGAAATTTAAAAAATAAAGACAACTCCTGTAATGCAACTAAAAGAATATAGGATGTTTCTATTCTAGCATCTGAATGATTGCATTACTTATAGTAAAAACTTATACAATTACTCAATTATCTAACATTTATTGACTTCTTGACAATGACCTTAACTGAATATGAAATTTCCTAGGTCTAGGCCAACTGGGTCAAGGTTCTATGGGTGGATTTGGCCAGTCCTTAGGGCAACTAAACCAAAGTTCGGGACTAAGTCCCGCTTTGCCAATAAGTACTGCAAGTACCGTTTATCAAGCCCACTATGGTCTGAATTCCCTAGGTAAGTTTCTTTATCATTTTCAGCAAAAAAAAAATAGTAAAATTATAACAAAAATGAGACGTTCACACAAAAAAGTGGTCTATTCACCAATCAGACCTATACCACCTTATGTATTTCGACCCATGGAAACCAAATCCACCATGAGAAACGCTCAATCACTCTCCAGACTTTTCTAAATATCCAAAAACCACCTCTAAAACCTAAAAAGCCGCCAAAGCTCTGCATGCTGTAAGTTTCTTCTTATCATTGCCCTGGAAACGAATTGACAAATCATACAACTGGATCATTCCATATTTTAGATATTGAAAGGCTAAATCAACCCTTCACCAGAAAATCACTTAAAAAATCAGCGAAGATTCTGTATTGGCCGATTCTTGTAACGAACTCAAATCAGAAATTTACAACCAGATATATTGCGTTCGACACAGAAGATGAGTGACGTGAACTTATCTAATAAACATTGTTGAACTTAAATATGTACACATAGTACGGCGTACTCATCCAATGCCATAGGCATAACCTGGGCATAAAAAGAAACAGCGGTCCTGTAACTCCCCAGTTGGATACAAGAAATTCTCTACTATTCGAGGCCCCACAATTTGCAACTTTTCTTTTAGTGAATTTCTTTTTCGATGCAATCCTACAGTTCTGTAATCGTGGTATATCTGATATATTTGAAGGCAGCTATCAATATGTCGAGAAAATCGACTCGATTATAAAACTACGTCTAGCGGTTGCAGTAAATCAATGGCTTTTAGTTACTCTGTTCCAATTATTACTGTTAGGTGTTAAAAAGAGATCGTTCGAAGATAAAAAAGGGCAATAGAAAAAAAAAGAATAACTTTATGCCACTGATTGATTTAGTTGTAGTTTTATGGTTGAGTTGATTTTCTCGAACTATTCACAACTACCTTAAGAGATCTCAAGTATACCATGACTGCAGGTCCACATCCGAACTTTGCTTACTAAATATAAAGTCATAACAGACTTTTGGGCTTCGGAGAATAGTAGAGTAGGTTACAGGACTGACTCTGTCTACGTTTGTCCAGGATATGTCTGCAGTATTGTGTAGTGTCTGTGCAGGGTTATGAATTTGGTTCATAATCTATTAAATAACCTCTTGCCATTCATCTGCTGTGTAGGGTGCATATATGTCGCTGTCTTCGGCCTGTAAATTTGTGATTTGAGTATATTGTAACTTAAGTTCTTTTAGTGTAGAATTTTAGCTGATTTTCGACTTTAAGGGATGATTTTCTGGTGTTCTTCAGGAGCTGAAGAGCTGCAAATATTTATTGAGTAATCTGAATAACAAAAATATGCAATGAGCCTCACGAATATGATGTGTCTCCAGTTTCCATGTACTGGATACAGAGTTTTGGCTGCATTTTAAGTTTTTGGGGTATAGCCTAGTGATGTTGCATTCATGTCATTATCATTTGCATGGGTGTCCATCCAGATAAGGCTCGCGATGTTCGTCCACATTCTAGTGGCCTGTATATCGTCGTTCTCACAGAAGCTGTACAAATTTAGGCATGTGTAGGAAGTTATACCATCCCTTGGAAAGGATGTTAAACCATCGGTTTCTTGTCAAAGTAATGTTAGGTAAGTAAAAAATCCTCATGCTACTACAAGGTGGTTTCTGGTTAGGGGTTGTTCGTCTCCTAGCGTAGCATAGTAACAGAAATAGGCCGCTGTAAAACAACCAAATTGGAAAAAAAGGGATGTTTCTGGGGTGGTTTTGGCTATTTGAAAACAAAAATTGGATAGTGATGAAGCATTTCCCATGGCAAATTCGGTTTCTGTGGTTCATAAGTCTCATCCGTAAAAGAAATCACTCTTTTTTACATGTCTCTGTATTCCTTGAATTCCTTGGAGTTGCATTATTTTACCCTCTTAACGACCATGTCATGTAATTTTTGACTTTTTTGGACTAAACATTTCTTATAAATCCAATGAAATAAATCATCTCCATGTTAAAGACATAGCACTTTTCACTAGAGGGCAAGTCAAACAGGCCGTACTCTAATTATACGGCATAATGAGACTCTAGCTGCTTTTAAAAAATTATCGCCACCATTGTGCGGGGCATTCTAGCTGAACCGGACGGATTTAGAGAAGAAATTATCGACGGACTATTTGGAGCACTCTAGTCTGGCCATTGTTGGTACAAGACTAAAACAACAGAGCGCCAAGATCCACATAACGAAACCTCAAACATTTGCTGACCGCTAAACTCAAACAAACCCACAACATTTACTTTTGACACCTTTACTCGAAAGTAACAACTCGGTGAGGCATTCCACGACGCCCTGGGGGGAACGGGGGAGGAGGGGGGGCGTCCAGTCACAAAACACGCAATTAGCAGTGATTAGAAGCAACCTCGTTACCCGCTACCGAAATACGCGTCAACCATTCTAATTAGTTCTGCACACACTTTTTAACATTAACGTGTTTGCCATGATTTTTCTTCATGGCTGCCAGTCAATGTTTGCATTCAATCGCTATTGGACCATTATTCCGTTCATTGCGCACTAATTTAGGTTTTCTTGTAACTGTTACGAGCTTAGTTGTCAGCTGTAATGTTTAAAATAAATAAAGAGGCTCTTTGGATCTTAAAGGCTTCAATTTTAAATCTAAACGAAAATACAGGGTGTTCTGAAAAACACTAGCATACATTCAGGACCTGATAGAATTTCTAAAAAATATTACAATTTGTTCCTATGAACCGTGGGCGTATCTTTTTCCGTTTTCAAGATACCGGGCGTTGAAAATATATTTTTAGAATCTAGTTTCGGTCCAGTCTTCCACAAGAAACGTCCATGCTTAGATTGTTTACATCATGACTTTATTTTTTCTAATTGCTGCTGAATTACCAAACAATGATTGTTAGGGTCAGTTTCCTTGAATAACATAAGGTCATAAGCAGATAAGAGATGTTCACATCTTATTACAGAAAACAAGTCGTTTGTGAATAACAAAAACAGCAATGAATTATTGTTATTTCATGCATGATGGCGCACCACCACATATTACTCGAGTATGCAGAGAATGGCTTCATAAAAATTTTCCTGAGCGATAGATTGGTCGAGGTGCAGATGTTCCAATTCACTGGCCTCCAAGGTCACCAAACCCCTTGATTATGGGAGGTATGCCAAACAAAAAGTATATGAAACAGAAATAAATTCAGCAGAACATCTGACATAAAAGATTGTCGATGTTTTCAACCATCCAAAAGACGATTCAGAACCTTTGAAAAATACATTGTTTTCATTACAAAAAAGAATTCATTTTTGTTTTCCTGATAATGGGGAACACAACATTTTGAACACTTATTCTGATTTTATTTTCCTTAAATGTTAATTTTCTGTTAGTAATAATGAATTCTTGTTGTTTTTCTTTCTTTCAATTGTATTCAGTATGTGTTAAACTTTTCCAGAAATAAACCAACTATTACTTTTTATCATTATCATTAAAAGAATAACTTTGCTTTTGAGTTTTATTAATGTAACTAGGTGCCAAAGCCTGCTTCAAATAAAAAACAACAATTTGGGATACTAGCTGCTTCACTTTGGCGCACTACGCCTGGTTTTTCTCGAAAAAGGGGCAAATTTTAGCACTTCTTTCAAGAGCACCTTTTTTGTTTAGAATAAAATTTGCCATAAGAGCAAGTGACAAAAGGGACAAAAAGATTAACCTCAAAAAAGTTAGGACCTAAAATGTACTCGTGGAGTACTGCAATGAACGCCCTGTATGATATAGCCAAAAATAAATAACTTCAGTGCATTTAGCATCGCCAGAAACCCCACATAACAAAATTTCAGTTCATTCGGTCGAATTTTGTGTCAAATGTAATCAATGGACATAGATATCTGATTTAGGCTTCTAAAAAACTTTCGACCAAAAAATTTTAATTAGAGAATTTTATTACTGCGGTTTTAGTGGGTTCCTAATAAAATTACTCCTATCATATTTGCAAGACACACAACAGTATGTTACTAACAATGGTGATCAGTCTGATTACTTTTTAGCCAACTTTGGATTGGAGCTCCCCAAGGATCAAAACTCGGGCCATTACTGCATTTTATTATTCACAAATGACTTATTTTCTGTAATAAGATGTGAACATTTATTATCTACTTATGACCTTATATTATTCAAGGAAACTGACCCTAACAATAATTGTTTGGTAATTCAGCAGCAATTAGAAAAAAACAGTCATGATGTAAACACTTTAAGCATGGGCGTTTCTAAGATTAAAGTTTTGATAACAACTGCACAACAACTAAGTAAGAAATTTTCTTTTTGAATTAATTATATCTCAAACTTCCAAAAATTCGTAATTTTTTGTAATATAATCACATATCTTCACATTTTGTTTCTTCAGTATTATTTCTGTAAGTAATTAAAGTTTCGTAATACTAATATACAGGATGTTTCCTAAGTAATTTAAAATATTTCAGAGGGTTTTTCGTGTATGTCCAATATGTTCAATAAGTTGAATTTCTTGTTTAAAATCTTAATAATGTTATGTTTGTTCTCTCAAACTTTGGACGATTAAACTACCTATTAAAGAGTGTAAATAAAATTTAAAAACCTTACCAGTGGCGTGCGCGTAGGAAATAATATTCAATTATTGCATACTAATTATTATGCATACTAATGATATTTTAAATTTTGTAAGATTATTTTGGTTATTTTTATTTCTTATCTAACATGACACTCACTTTTTTCGTTTGAAGTTTAATTCTAGGGAAGATAGTATTTCATTAAACATTGTAGAACCTTAATGAACAATTACTAAAGTGCCCCCACTAAGTCGATGTAATTAATAATATTTCAAAGTAGGCAACTTATTGGTTACGGTTAATGTAATATTTATTAATAATTACTGTAAAGAGAAATTTGCCATGGAAACATTTGAAACGTAAACGTAAGACTTAAAATATACCTATTTATTGAATACTTCTTTTGAATGTACGCGTTTCACTTGTTTGTGCAAT